ATATATACATATACTTATTAAGAGTATAAAAAAACTGAGTATATTTATAAATATACTCAGTAATATAAATATACTTAAACTGAGTATATATTTATAAACTAGTAAATTTATAAATAATTTACATGAAGTAACATGTTTTTATCATAGTTATTATAAGAACATATTTATATTAAAACATCTACTATGTCACTCAAAGTAGATGCTAAAGAAAACTTTCGCTCAAAGTAAACTTTTGACAAATACATCAGCTTGTACTTCAACTGTAATTTGCAACAGCTAAAATTTACAATTTGAGCTTCGAATTGTTGCTTCATCTGTTCTATTCGCCAGAAATGATTGCGATTTTTTGCGAATCTAAAAAAATGGCGACAAGATATTTTTGAATAACAATGAAATCATTGATGTCACACATACCTATACTTTAGCGAGCTGTGTTACACAAACACTACATGCTATAACGAGTCAGCATTTGACATTTATTTTACTAAAAATGAAACTTTTCAACAACAACAGCGCAGCGTGATATTACGGATGCGGAACCTACACGTTGTTTCGGATACTTATTAATCGCCCCACGTAAACGAGTGCATATAAATAAAAATTGTGAAACCAGAGATGATTTATTCTAAAGTATTGCTCGCGTTTTAAATTGATGAAGCACCTTGCAAAACAACGATGTATTCTTCTATATAAGATAACAGCTGCACTGAGAAAAAAAAGTTGGTGAAGTAACAAAATAGTATTCGATTCAACTATATGCAGCGGTCACGGACTGTCAATAAAATATTGATTAATGTAAGAAGATATCATGTTTCAATAGATATAATAATTAGATTATACCGAAAGACAATTTAGTTGTTTTAACAAAATTAGAATTTGCTTAAATACAGGTAACTTTGAATGTACAACACAATAGGACAACACAATATTTTGTCTGCTTATAAAAATAAGCAGTTTGATTAAATGAAATACTTAGTGCAAAGAAATTCAGATTATATTCAATTAAAGTAAATGAGAATTGCCTATTTCATCTTTTTTAACAGTATCTTTTATTTGAAATTATCACAACTTATGTTCGACAAAACAATTCATGGTTTAGTGAATTAAATATGTTCATTACCACTATTGTTAATTCAACTTATACAAATTTGTTATCTTTATTACCATATGCTTGAATTAAAAAACCAAGTATTTCAGATAACAAACTGAAACTCAACTAAACGCATTTGGTTGAGTTAATAGTATTTTTTTCTCAGTGTGAGGAACCTATTAGCATTGATATGCGTTCCAGAGTTAGAATGTGTTCTTTCTTCTCGAGAAGAAACAACTCTTTCTTTTTTCTTTTTCTTTCTCTCTGGCGTCGGTTTTTTTTTCTCGTAAAATCTTATCGGAACTAGCGATTCCGTGATATATATATATATATATATACACACATATATAGAGTTTCGCGGATATACGCTGCGTCGCCGCCGCGTCGTATGACGACAAATGAAATGGATCTCAGCGAATTTGGTTAATGCTATCCGAAAACATGTACGTTGCAGTGACGTCGTCACAGAATGTTCACTCGACCGCGCCTGCCGAATCGAGTTTTACTTTCATTCGGTGAAAGTGGTACTTCTCTTTATTTCTTTCGGTCCGTGTCCCGCGCTTGCAACGGGTTTATCGGACGCGTGCACTTTTTCTTCCGTTTTCTTCTTCTTCTTTCTCTGCTATCGCGGTCGTAGTGTGTCCACGTCGAGTAATAAACGTTTCTCTTTTTTTTTTTTTATTCGTCTTCCTCCTGGAACAATATCGTTTCTTTCTACGGTCGCGCGCGGATATCATATCTCTGTTTCTGCAATACAGATTTTTTTGTAAACTTCTTTGAGAACTGACAGTTTGTTTTCTGTATAACTATCCAAGAGTAATACAAACTCGCTTAATGCTTTCCTTCATTCTTTGATAACAATTTTTCATAGTTAAACGAGAATAAAGAAAACGAACCTTAGTCTTGGAAATTCTTGTGCGATTTACTTTACCTCACTTTGTGAATTGCGTCTATGAAAGACCGTCTAAATTGCTCAAGCATATTGCTCGGGAAATCGCACGATAAGACTCACTCGTATATACGTCGATGCTACAGCGATATTAACATGTCCTCAAGCAATATGTCAAGATTTGCTCATAATACAAAAATTCGGAGACGAAACAAACGTATTCTCTCATATAAAAAAACACTAATTTCAAAATATAAATCATTTATATTATAAATTAACGCGCGCGCTATGCGAAAAGAATCGTTTCTATTGTACAAATTTTTTTTGTAATCGTGTAAAATCAGTAAGTCCTCTTAAACAAGTGAGACACGCAAGTCGATCTGTTGTCGTTTCATTCTTGCGTCGTCGTGAATACATCCGAGAACGGTCAACAATAAATTTCACTAATCGGGTAATCAGCAGTCGTCAACAAAACTCGCACGTGCGTTTGATCGCAAGATGAGTCAGAATGTACGTCGGTAGCACTTTAAGAACTAAGCGGAATACTTTACGAGTGACACTCGACATTGATATACGTTTATACCGAGCGAACGTCTGTTTCGCGACGACGAAAACAAGTTTCGGCCTGGTATATGGACGAAGGTGTAATTAAAACGCGTAATTTATATACACAGGTTTGCAACGCGAGCGCGTATGATACACGCGCTACCAGTAAAAAAAGAAGCGTCATGCACGCCAAAAGAAGAACGCATGACACACGAATGAACCTTTGGAGAGTTTGCGCCATGTCTCTTTTTCCGTTTGTACTTTTGCTCCACGAGTCAACTCATTCCATGCGTCCATAAAGATTGAAATCTAAGACCTGAATTGCAATAGAATAACAGACAAAACTCCTCTCGAAATATGTCGTCCTAAACTTGCGGACGTACGACGTCGATGACGCGTGACGGACGCATTTCTTTTTGTTGCGTCACGAGCTTTTTTCGCGAACGCGACATTATCGTTTCCACTCGACGCGGCACCAATTGGTGCATCGAAATTACGATACCAAAACTAACATGTTAATTCGAATATCAACAAAACAAGTGAACATATCGTTCAGTAAGAAAACTATTTATAGACATAAAAACAAGAAAAACTTAATATAATAACTGATTCAGAGTTACTAATTATTAGATTGGCCGGTAGTAATGTCGGAATTTTTTTTTAATGTAGAAAACTTTATATTCAATGACATATTGAGTATTTTAATCGATGATTTTTTGCTATCTTACAGATAACTTCATAATACCATATTTCCAAAATTTCTCATCTTTTTCAGCAAAACATCTTGAATCACACTTTGCAAGCCTCTAAAGAATCAAAATTTTTTTCATTGAGCAATTTTTGCAGAGAACGAAATAAATGAAACTCAGATAGTGCTAAGTCGAGTGAATAAGATCGATGAGAGAGAGAGAGAAAGATTAAGAACATCTCAATTCAGTTCTCTCAATTTTTCAATTGGCAAGTTCTGGTCGTTTTTCCTTAATATTTTCGTTCAATCTATCCAATTGTGAGCAATACTTATCAAAGTTAGTGGTTTGTTTAGGCGGCGGGAGCTTATATAAAACAATACTCCTTTCCAATCTCACCATACACATATAATAATTTTTTTGGGGTGTAAAGCTTTAGACCGGCCCACTGGTCTCGCAGCCTGAGTGCAGAGGTAGGTTACGAACTGGAGGTCCCGAGTTTCGAATCCGCTTATCACCTTAGGATTTTTTCTGGACCGGTCCCTTTCAATCGAGTAAATCGATTAATTGGCGAACTGTGAATCGGACCTCCAAAAATTAATTTTTGAGTGATGAAAATCTCGAATCAATTCCTCTGCCACAAGGCGATTAAGTCATAACACCAGAGTACACGAGTCCGACACGTGGGGCAAACGCCTATCGTGAAAAAACGGCCGTGTATCGCGTGGTAGTATTATTATACTGCACAACAATCTCCACTGTAAAGAAAAGAATGGAATGAAAAGAAAACGAAAAATCGTGAAATCCAAACATATCTTATGTCTCATCGATCAAATCTCCATCACGAAATTTGAACCATCTTTGTACCATTCTTTCATTCACGTACCAACATCATGCACATCACAAATTTTTATTGTTGTTTATCGCATTTTTATTTTTGCGAAAATAAAAGAGCGTAATTGCACGAAAATATATCTTTTTGTTATATGTTTAAATCAAAATAAGCATTCAAAAAATGAATCAAAATATAATGAATTTATTTTTGGTTGCACGTACAAATGTCAGCTTTCAAATTCTACTCGCGTTTTATAGATTATGAATAGTCTTGTGTTTCGAAAACAGTAGAAACGACGCCTTACGGAAAAATCCGACATTACTTGTTGGCCGACACAATATTTTATATCGATTTCTTTACCAAATTACTTTAATCGTAAACCGCGCATCAATATGATTCTACTCAAATCATCGGCATCTCGTCAACAAAAATCGCTCGTTGCTATTACGAACACATGTCTTTCATTTTCACATCTCTCGCGGAACGATAGGACTTTCACAGAAAACTTCTTTCGAATTGTACATTTGTCATAGGTGTGATCACGTAATTTTTCGAAATAACTTAAGAAGTGATCGCCTTTGCGCTTAGCAACTGTGCGATACAATATAGAAACGGTTGATCGAACATGTACTCTGTAAAGTAAATGTTTATGTAAAATAAATCGGTTCTCGAAAGAAAAAATCGCAGATCTCAGAATTCAATCGATGTTATCAGCAGTGCAATGTCGTCGTGCTCATAACGATCTTTCCAAGAAGTGTTTACGAGCACAGGTGTGAAATAGGTGTGGGATGTGCAATGCGACGACATTGGCGATGGTCTTCTCTCGTCAAGTTGGAGGTGGTGGTGGTGATAGTGGTTCTCGAGAGCCGAAGACGGCGAGAAGCGCAGAAGGGAGCAGAGGGAATAGAGGGAAAGAGCCCGTCTCTCGTCGGAGCATGGCATCAGTCGGCGATACCGCGCGAAACTCTACGCTCGACAACGTTCCGCCAGCTTTACTTCAACGGCCAGTCATCGCACGCCAATCGCTTAGTCTGTCAACTTCATTACGATCGGAAGAATACGCGTTCGATATATCGACTCTGAGAATATTGTGTTCTCCAAGTCGATTTAAAATGTGCGTTCCAATTTCGCGACTTTTATCACGCACATTTCATTCTTTCTCTTCTTTGTCTCCGTAATCCTATTGAATTTAACGCAGGATACACGTGCGAGGTGTTCTCACTCTCATTGTGAATTTACGCAACTGTACGAGAGTTGTTTGTAAACTAGTCGCGAGCGAGACTAATCCGACGTCAGTAATCATTTTATAGCGCATTCGTTCGCGGAATTGAGCACGGGGCCAATTAAACGCGTGATTCGATACATGCAATATTGGTTCGTCAGTGGCTATTATTCTATATAATGGCAAATAAATTTTTCAACTAAGTATCTTTTTCGTATAAATAATGTCATATTTAATACTCTGCTGAAAATACCGTAAAAAAATGATTACACTAATTCCAAAAATTAACACTCACATGTAATTAATCTCGGAGTAAGTTTAAAATCTGGAACACAACTTATGAATTTTTAACAAAAATTAAAAAACATCTAAAAAATCGCGCATTTGGTTTTTTTATTATTTAATTAAAAATTTAAATTAAAATCATCTCTATGGTTTTTCAAAATCATTAACTTGTTACATAAAAAATAGCGTAGTTGTAATTTTATCTATGTTAAATTCAAACAAATAGTCTTATCACATTTGCCGTATTTATCATGTTTATTAAACTATTACGACATCAAAGTAAAAAAAAGTTTCGTGAGCAAACGAAGTGTTATTGGATGACGTTGTTTTTGGTGAAAATTTTAGTTCGATAATTTGTTCTTTGTTCGGTAAACGATGGAAGCTTTTAGAGAACGACGGCAAAATGTACGCGCGGATACTGTCGAGCGATGCGTTTATAGATGTAATAAATCGCGGCACTGCGCGGCACAATGAGAAGAGCTCGCGTTGAAAATTTATTAAAATCCAGGCGTTTATATAGAAACCCCGGTCTTGTCTACGCGCACACATTAACGAAACCGTCGATTGGATCGATTTTACAATACAAAGACTCGCGTGAAGCAACACGTAATAATTTATAACAACTGATTCGGCGAACACGCCAAATTAATTCAACGCAACCTGAGGAGAAAATATCTCAGTTATATTTTACACGACACTTCCGAACGTGATCGCGAACAAATTAATCTGCGCGATTAATTTTAACTTTCAAACTTTCGAAATCGACAATGCCTTTGTCCGCAAAGCGCGATATGCGTTTCATTATTCTTCATTTCAGTCACGGCTGAATTGACACGTGAACAAAATACACATTGAAAGAAGTTCTATCAAATATATATTGAATATATGTTGAATATATATAGCACGAAACATTGATTCGACAGATCTGATATTCAAAACTGTTTTCATTATTTTGTCACTCTACATATGTATACCGAAGCAACATACGAACTAAAGTCCGCAATATAAAATTTTCTTTGTTTGCAGAAATTAATTGACGTACAAAAAGCTAGTTGAAAAACATTGAGTAAAGAATAACGCGATAAGTCTAGAAATTTCTGTCATTAAAGGATATATTTTATAAGATTTGCATATAAAACAAAAAAAAACATTTTGCAAAAGTATTTTGCTTATCTCTTTGCGGTAACATGTAACTGTCTTCTCTTCGAGTTTTCGCGCGTGTATTAAATGTCTCAACAATATTAAACTTGAGTGCGAGAAACTTCGACATCGAACACGTAACTACTGTGAACCCGCACGGACCGACAAACGTTGGCGTGCAGCAGCTGTCGCAAGACAGAAACGCACGAGAAGCGCTCACGCTGCCGTCGCGACGATCGGCAGCAGCATGTTTTTGACAGCACGCGCACGATCGCGGTCGCACGCAGCGCCGATGTGTGCGACAGGAATCATCGACGTGTACACGAGCAGCACGAGCGGCAACGACACCGGCACGTAGCCGCGAAAGGAGCCCTCCTCCCTCCTGTGATGTCGATATCCCGGGCGCGATCCTGGCCGCTGCTGGATACAACAGCAGGCAGAGAAAGCTGCGCCGGTTTCGTCGACGACTCGTTCCTGAGAAAGAAAAACCGTCCGGCCGAAACCAGCGATTCCGAGGATAAGAACAATATAGCGATTGTTCAATCCGACGGCAGCCCCCAGGTGCAAGCGAGACGGTTATTGTGCCGTCATTACTATCCGGAGGGAGGATGGGGATGGGTGGTCACCATCGTCGGTACTCTGGTGCATCTTTTGGGACCGGGTCTCCAATTCTCGGTTCCGGCCGCCGTTGCGTTGCCCGCTAAAGTCAAGTTCTATCACCATCCGTTAGACACAGCTGGTGAGTCGAGATCCTTTCAATAAATTTACACATATGTTCCGTGTAAACGGGACATTTAACTCTATTATATAGAAAAAAGTAATTATCTAAATCATATTCCTATTTTTATTACGCGAGATATGATTTGCTTAATCTGTAAATTTCACAAAAATGCTAACTCGAATTTTATTTAAAATCTATGTTATTAAATTCAATAATTTTCAGATAATTTCTCACAAAAGATTTTATTTCTTTTAACAAGATAAGTTGCGTTTAAAATAGATTAATTTTTTTCACGATTATTATCTATTTATCATCTATTAAGTTAATTATGTGAAGAAATAAAAAACATTTTAAGAAGATCACTGAACTTCGCTTGATTGTAATACTTATTTTCTGCAACTCCAAGTAAGCCGATATAAAGTATTTTTTTTCTTTTTTGATAAGTCATCCTGTTTATTCTCGTTTACCATCTTATGTTCCTTGTTTCTTAAGCACGCGTCGCAACATGTGAGTTTCTTGCACGATAGTAGTTGTAGCAACTCTCAACATTTATGAAAGATATATATTAGAGTTCCTGAGTTTTTCCAACTTTTTCTCAGTGGAAACGTGATATTCTCGATCAATCTATATCTATATGTATGACAAATAAACGAATGTCTATAATTTTCTTATGTCTTATATTTTCGTTTTTAAAAATATTTTATGAATCTATACTGAAGTCATAGATTTGTTAAAATTAATAAAATGAATAATAACTAAAGACATAAAATAAATAACAAAGTTAATAAAAACAATAACAATATAATAATACAATGATAATTAACAATAATGCTGGATATAAACGGCGCTAAAAATGAAAGAGTTAATTGTAGAATGCAATAAATATAATATGAAAACTTTTCTTGATATGAGTATACACTATCAGGATAAATTGGTAGTTACCGACTTATCGACGTTGAGAAGATAACACAGCGTTCTGTTTTGTGTGTGAATAAAAGCTACCAACAAACTGTAAGAAATGCCTCGTGAATGTCGAGCAAAATAACAAAAAAAAAAACTCATAAAATTCAATATAAAACTAATATAAATAAAACAATATTATACACTAACTGATATAAATAAAATAAAATGATATACACTATGATAACTTTTAAAACATAGTTGTAATATATATTCTTTTATATATTTTCTTTTTTCATGTGTATATATATAATACATATCTCTTATCCACATTCATATATGTATAGAATACATTAGTATTGTGTCATATATAGAGAGAGAAATTTATGGAAAGACACGCGCTTTCTAAAGTATTACATTAAATTCGTAACATAATTGCAGTAACGCAACCAACTCTTTTTGACAATAAATAACGTTGTATTTTATGTTAACAAACTTTTAGAAAAATTTCTTCTACTCTATTCATTTCCACGCGCTATAATTAAAAAAGAGAAAACATGCAAGATCATTATATATAGAAAAATAAAACAATATTAAATTAAAAAAAAAAAAAAACAAATAATAACATTTACCAAAAAGGTGCGCTGCTGCTACAATATATTTGCTGTTCATCACACGGTAGAACTTATCTGATTGCCGATGTTCTAACCACCTTTCTAAATTTACGCAAAAAACATAACTTGACATTTGCTTTGGTTTTGCTATAACCATTTGAATGATGATTCTACTTGTATAATGTTTATTACAGTTAAATATACTTATACTTGCATAAATGTTTCAAATATAAAAAATATAATATTAAAAAATACAATATTGGTAATTATTTTTTTGTAGTTTCGATGTAAAAATGGACTTTTGTTGAGAAAGAATTAAACAATAATAATACTATAGGAGTCGGAAGATGATTAAATATCAATAATATATTACTGAGTGGCAAAAGCATTCCATAGCAGCTTGCGGATGATTCAGTTTGATAACTATCAGATATTAAACTGCATTTTTTCGTCAGATTATAACATCCTGACCGAATAATAACCATCCAACATCATTTTCTGTCAACTTGTATCGTACTGTTCGCATCTTCCACAAGGAATTATGTATATCAAATCGACACGTGATAACTGGTTGAAACGTGACACGCGGAAAGTGTTGACAACGTTCTAACGAAATACGAAATGATACAACGCCGAACCATGACATGAACGTTTGATCGAGACGGACTGAAGTCTCTTTTGCGATTATAATCTTTAACCTTTTGAAATTTGCAAATCACGTTTATGATACATAGCTAACACGAATCTCGCTTGTACGACAATGATTCTCGTGAAACCAAAACAATCTCGTTGAAAAAATCTTTCCGTCGAAAACTAATTTATTTTTCAACGGATTTACTGATATCGTCGTAATAAAATATGCGCTTAATCCACAAATATATAACTCTACACACAATGGCAGTTGCGCGCTCTTCAATTCATATATTCCGGGCAACGAGAGAATAATGTGCACAAAAAAAAAAAAAAAAAAAAAAAGAGAGTGGAAAGAAACGAGCAAGGATTTACGGACCGTCAAGGGAGCCTGTGCAAGATTCGCGAAAGGATCTTTCGCGGTATGAAAATAGAAAGGTTAAGATTATATCGCGGCAATTTGGCTCTTTATTTCGCGCGTAAAATCATCTAGTCTTCTGTATAAGCGAGCCGATTATATGAAACCGGATTGTATGAATCAAACGCGGAAAAGAATCAAGATAGATTTTGAGATGCTCTTTCGAAAGTTTAATTGTGTTTCGCCCGTCTCATTATAACGCAAACTCATCAAAAGAGATACCAAATTATTTATGCATATTGTATGTGTGCTTTTTGCACACGCGGACAAATGTAATCTTTTGGCCAATTAATTATCTTATTCAAAAACATTACGAAGCGCTTCGCCATAACAACTTTCAATGAGACGGGACAAAGTTGTTCCTTTGCGCGATTTGTTTCGCGTGGTGAACCGCGTAGTGACAAAAGAACATGTTAAAAGAGCGCGCACGCTCTGTTATTTCATCATTTTGCGATCGAACAAAAAATTTCCAACCGGGAATCAAAGTTTCACGAACTCCAAGTTTTATTTGAAATTGTACGTATTCTATCCGTTCGGAGTGACAAAGAAAAATATATCGTTCAGTTGGATCACTGTGCGCGATTGTTACGACTCGACGTCGAAAAAGAAACGCGAGTACTTTTAGTTAACAAATCAACGCAAGGTGGACGTAACGAAAATTGACAATAAGATAATCGGTTTTCACATTGCGGAGAGAAAATCACAAAAGAAAAAAACCACTAGCAAGTTCCGAAAGAAACAACCATTGGCGTATAGGTATCTATACGGTATCTCTACGTATCTATTGGCATACGTATCTATAATACGACCTGGGGAACGACGCACATCATAGAAAATGTGGGTGGGGAGAAAGTAGAGTAGCATAGTACAGAGAGATCCAAGGAATGGAATACATAGGAAAGCAGGCACGACGACCGCGTCTGACGACGCGATCGGCTCCATTCCTGAAAGCGGAGAGACGCCGCAGAGAGACAACTCGCGCGTCTCGACAACTGAGCGCGCTCAGTCCGCGCGTTGAGTGTGTCGCGTCCGGTCGACGCGTCGTCGTCGTCGTCGTCGTCCTGCGATGTATACATATAATATACATCCCGTTGCTCAGTATCCCAGGAGTCGCGCTCGGTTTTGCTTAGTCGCGATAAGTTATGAGACCGCTCCGATTTTCCTCTCGTTCGAAAGATTATAGATCATCGAGGAAATGATTTTGATAAAGTTTCGCGACTGACATTATCGGAGATTTGTTTTGACAATTTTGGAAAATTTATCTTATCGTCGAAAAATATTTTCCAGTTTTACGAAGATTTAAATCAAATAATGATGATTGTCCCCCCCCCCCCTAAACGAGAGAATTATGGTTACGCTTGTGAGAACTTTCAGCTCCAAGAACGCAGAGAATTCGAGATGAAATTTAATAATTTTAATTTATGTTGATGAGCTAATAATAAATTCTTTCTTTTAAAGTTTTTGACGGATGATTTTACACGTTTATACCGTAATTGATCCTTTGAACAATTGAAAATTACAAGATTCTAAGTCATAAAATTATTTTCTGAAAGAGATGCGTGTAACGAAAAGTGAAATCCCGAGACAGATATTTGATAAGTTTCGGAACTCTGATCAGAAATAAAAGGAAAAGAAGAGCGGATGAAGGAGAGCGACGACGATGATGAGAACCCGTGTGATACCTTGCTGAACTCAGAGGAAGGGAAATCCGGATAATGGCAGCCTCCCATGTGGATTCTGAAATTGGCGAGTACCAAGCGACGTTTGCAACAGCTGCGGTGTCTCGCAAAGTTGTCAAATCTTGGTCCGACCATAATCACCGCGTCGAAAAGTCTGTCGGCCGACCAAAACTACGTGACCGCGAATATACATCAAGATATGATAAATCGGATAACGATGACAATATCACCGAGAACTATTATTATACAAAAAATGATGCAGATTGGTCAAAGCAAAAAAATTCAGTTTTCAAAAAAGAAAACAATATTGTTGTCAGATCGAATACTAATAAAACTATAAGATTTGACAAGTGCGACATTTTCAAATCTATAAATGATCATAAAATAATTGTGCACAAGGAAGACAACGAGGACATCGAAGATTTAAAAGATAAATTTAAAGGTATGTACACGATCCAAAAGTCAAATAATAAAATCGAAGAAACTCAAGAGACATTTAATGAACACAATTGTACAAACGAAACTGTTCTCGATAACGAGTGTCATGATGAGCGAGAGACACACGTTTTTCATAAAATAAAAATTGCATCGGCATCAACGAACGATTGCATAAATAATCCACCCGAATCGACATATTTTTCCCGTGATGCCGATAAAACGATCAGCTCGGATAAGCGCGCCGGGAATAGCGACAGTCGTAAAAATGAGTACGACGAAGACGCGGCAGAACCGATGGAAATCAGTTCGCCCCAAAATCGCGCGTACTCTCACGGGGAC